GAAAGGTTTAGGGTTTAATAGGGTTTAGGGTTTAGGGTTTATAGGGTTTAATAGGGTTTAGGGTTTAATAGGGTTTAGGGTGTAATAGGGTTTAGGGTTTATCCACGCCGTAGCCACCAACATGTCGAAGCAAAATCATCAAGTGTTATCTCACAAGAGCTACAGACTCAATCAGATGCCCCCCAAGACCCTAGTCTCTTGAGGTCGGAAAGTGTTCTGCTTGCCGCCAAAGCACAAATGGTTCGCCAAGGACTTCCTCAAAGATAACTACACACAGGATTCGAACTACGAACCAGGGTTTGCCAGGTAGTGCCTAGGTACTACATATACGGGTTATACGTAGCTTTATGTCACGAGCAGCAGGTCAAGTCTTCCTTGTACCATACAGGGGGCCTATCGGCCCAGAGGAAGGAGGCCGACAAAGACCATAAACTGAAACACGCAGACAGATCGTGACCCGTATAGGAACCCTTACAGAACCCCTAATTTCTTTCGACCCCTTTCTAGTAACCCAACTATGGTGCTTATAACTTACCCATAGGCCCCAAAGTAGTTCCTTTTGGGGATTACCTTATAGGATTCTATATATGAACCCCAAAAGGAACTACTTTAGGGCCTATGGGTAGTAACCCAAACTATGGCGCTCAAAAACTTAGCCCCCCAATCTCAATCGCAAGCAGCTCCGAGCGGAATCTGAGCTCTTATGCCAGGGCGCGTCGCTTCCTCCCCCTTTGTGCTCCGGACGCAGACCTACAGGGTTTTAGGGGGTGTAGGGTTTAGGGTTTTAGGGTTTAGGGTTTTAGGGTGAAGGTTTGAGGTGCAGCGATTTTTTGGGGGTTGGGGGTTAGGGCTTTAAGGGTTTAATGAGGGGTCCCGTTTTAAAACCCCACAGGCCTTGCCCACAAAGTTCAGCTGAACTCCCTCAGCCCTGTGCTGCAACGTGCCCAAAATGCCCCACAGATCTCTGCACTTGTCACAAAAGGGTAGCAAGGTTCTGCTTCCAGGGTACTTGGAGGATCATGGGACTTAGTAAGTAAGGTTATAAGTCCCTTAATTGGGGTTATAAGTATACTTACCCTGATTATAAGTCTACTTACTAAGTCCCATGATCCTTTCAGCAGGTGTTCACAGGGATAGGTGGGAAGGCCTTGCCCTCACGAGGTTCGAGATATGAGTTAGCCGACTGTGATCGCATGTTTTGGCAGTGCCGCAATCTCGAATCCCGACCCTAAACCCTAAACCCTAAACCCTAAGCCCGAACTACCCTAAACCCAGGACCCTTACTTCAAGCCTCAGTCCGACATTGTCCTGGTCGGACCTGCCCTTGGAAACGTTTTCTATAGGCTTTCTTGCCGTTCGCATAACGGTCCTATTCATTGGTGGTGCCTGACTTAGGAGTGCGTCTGAAAAGGATCCTACCATTTCCAAGCTAAAAGATGGTCTCCCACAACACTCCTATATCAGATCTTATGAAAGCTTATGAAGGAGTACGGGACACTCCTGATTGGAGTTTAAGGATGTCAAGCGCTTGGAGCTTTGTACACCCTCCATCCTACACCCCTAAACCTGTCCCTAATCAGCGTTCAGGTGAGCTGCCAGGCCATACTTCGTGTTCACCGGCTGTTCGTAATGAGGGCTCTCCTGCCATGATGTGGCACCTACCCAATCGTCCGTAAGCTTTAATGCTTAGGCCTAGGCAAATCTTTCCAGACCGCATTGGGCTTGTCCTCGCGTGCCGACACACTATGCCACCCAAACCTCCGAGTGCAGACTTAGCTTTGTAGAGCTTGGGGGTATCCGTCGAGGCCACAAACATGAAAAATGGATGCCAATGCCAACGATGCCTGTTAGCAAGATGGTGAGTGAGTGAAAACCAGAAGGAGAAGTAAAACGACTATCAAATCCGCCTCGTCGTTGGGTTCTCAAGGAACATGGCCTCCCTAGGCCCGGGACCATGCGAGTGCTGTGCGACAAAACCTTGCTTTTGACAATTCTAAAACCACCGTGTGAGTTATGCTATACTATCCTTGTCGCGGGCAATGCAAGCTAGTCTCCCTCAGCCGTGTGTGCTTCTTTCGGCTTTGATGCGATTACCACGAATATCCCAGCATCTTTAGACACACGCATGGTCAATTTCTTTTTACCTTATTCTGAGTAAGCCGTTCCCTACAATGCTTGCCCGAATCCGTACGTTGGTGGCACGATGGAAGTTTGGGAAGTTGGTGAACTCGACCCATCCCTAGGCAGCCTAAACTTTGATAACGGTTGTTCTCAATGCATCTCCCCAGCGCACGACTAATCTGTAGAAGTGTCGTTGCTCTCATGCTAGGCCAAGAACACTGCAGCAATTTGCCCATATACATGCGGAAATCGCAGTGCAACAGCCGAAGCACACCAGCAAGTAAGCACTGCCACGCAAGACGCAACTCTCAGTTTCTGTCTGGGTACCACGTGAGTGAGCAAAACAATCATCCCCAAACCATGCCTGCGGTTACTACGTATTTCTCTTGATCGCTCAGTGTTTCTATACTCACATACTATCAAAGCAAAAAACAAAGTGTACTATGGAATGCAAACCTGCTCTGGAAGCTAGCCCCGCGTGTCCTCGATGCGCTCGCGGAGATACGATGCCTGCATTACGAAATCCGCAAGGTGGTTATGAGACCTCCCTCCTCATATTTGGAAGGTCTGAAAGCCGCTTTGGATTATCTAAAAAGCTAGGGAGGCCATTGGAGACTCACCGTCTCCAGATCGCTTCCCTTCCGCGCGATGCGCTGAACAGAGCCAGAAGTCAGAAGCACCCGAGCCACAAAAAAGACAGGTCAGAAATTGGGGCTCGGTGACCTAACCCATGACGTGAGAAAATGCCGGCGCAGATTTCCAAGCCGTGATACAGCATCACAACGACACGAGGACCCGACGACCAAGCCGGCAACAACGATCACGACCACCAGGACCACCAGATCACCGTGACGACCACGCACCGACCAGGACCTTCACAGCAACCAGCAAGCAACGAGAGACGATTCAACCTGAGCCAAAAAATATTCACCACACTGCAGCGGGAGCCGCGTCCGGGTGTGCCCAGGTCCAAAGTACCGAACCGGGCACCTCCGAAGCCTTGAAACAACTCCAAAAGATCAATGCCATATCTTGCATTGGGCAACCCTCGATGAGGCCCTACATCAGAGCCTGTTCAATGGCATCCCGGATGTAGGAGCGGAGGCCGTTGGTTCCAAAGTATTCGAAGACCATCCTCGAGCAGTTTATTGTTGAGTTGTGTTCTGTTCTCTTCACTTGAATTGTCCGACAAATTGATCCCTAGTCAATCTAGTCTTCTTGCGACCATGAGGTTCATTATCGGCACATTCGGACATTGTTAGGATCATCATCACTTCAGGTCCGCGTTATAAGTGCGCTGAAATACGGGTCGTTGGTTCTACGGGTTCCAAATCTTTCGTTGTTCCATTACCCCTGGTCACCTTGGTGTTACCAAGAGTCCTATGTCAGCGCTCATCTTGGCTCTCACTATTCTTATTGAACAGTTCTTGCGGGCAGATCAAACGAAGGGAATCACGGAAGGACGGTCAGCGCTTAGCTAGTTCAGAATTCGGCCATGTGAAGGTTTTAAGTTGACTTAGGGGTGTTGCATGGTGTTGCTGTCGACAGGGTGCTTATTTTGGTGCATCACCGTGCACGCCTGCATCCCAAACATAGCTCCAAAGCCCGAGATCCAAGCCGCACTTTAGGCCGAACTTATTAGCTTAGAGGCCGGAAGAACGGATACGGATAAGGGTGACAAGGGGACTACGTTTAGGGTTTAGGGTGTAGGGGTCAATCTACCTACAGGAGCGCGAATCTAGGTGTTAAGGCCCAAACATCCTGCAAACCCAGAGTAACCGTTGCTGTGAAACCGTTACTGGGACTCTTTCGTCGGAGCCATCGTTTCATTACTCAGGGCAGAGATAAGGCAAGGTCAATCGTTGCTGGGTTTCGGGGTTTCGGGGTTAAACTCCAAACTCAAGCGAACCCTAGACGTATAGAGTCACCGGAAAGTTAGTGAAAAGCTAAACATGCATGCATAGACAGATGTACAACAGGTGTCCACATACATACAGTTTGGGCTGGGCGAAGACTTCACTTCTGCTGGGGGTCCAGATGCGCAGTGAGCGGAACCGCCGTCCAAGGGGGACGGACCAGTCCTGCCGCGGCTCGGGGTTCAGATCCCAGTGCTTCCCCCTTGCATCCGGCACAGTCAAGTTAATCCACACCGGGTGTCCTTGAACTCAGGGTTGTAGATGGACCTGAAGCCGCTGAGGTTCAACTTGTCTCGAGCTGGGACAAAGGAAATCAAGAGTCATGAGCGTAGTTGCCCGACCCTGCATCTGAAACTCCTCTCCAACTTATGCTCTTGGAGACTCCCCCCAACAAGTCGAACCCAACTACAACCTCACCAGCACGGGGTACCCGGGGTACCCCAAGAGGCCTCCCGGTTAAAAACCCGTGCACCTACCCCTACTGCCGGCTCTCGAAAGTCGATATCCACAAGGCATTTGCGAGCACCGTCTCCTCACGAACTGCAATTTTGGGTAGAAGGATCTGCAGAAAAAAACATGACATGGCGAGTCCGGCGATAGAGTAGAGAGGCCCTATACCATGGTATTACATTTATTATAGCCTCTTCCGATCAGGACATCTGCGACATGACTCACACTCTCAGTCAAAATGCTTCAGAGGTTCGGACTCTGAACAGAGTTGCAAGACATGTAGGAACCGGCTGGCCCAGGAACGCAAACCAAGGCACGTGTGCTCTACGTCGGCCATAAATGCATCGGAGGCCGAGAACACGTCCTTCCGAACCGGCCCGACAGCCAAAGACTGATTCAACACATGCGAAACCTAGCTTTCTACTGCCAGTGCGACTGCTACTGCTATTGCTACAGCTGCTGCTGGTGATGACACGAAATGCACACGAAACCCAGGACTCCACACCCAAACCACACCCGAAACTAAACCCATTCAGCCCTATCGTGTGCTTTTTCTCAGGGGTTTTGGGGTACCTTGTCGTATAACTTACAAGGAATATGCTACCTCAACCCAAAACCCTGAACTCTGCCTCTCAGGCCCCTATGCTACAAAACCCTAAATCCTCACCCCAACTCTAAACCGCAAACCCCAAGCCACAAAACCGTCAACCCCAAACCCCATGTAAGCCCTTAAGCCTGAAGACCAAACCTAACAAAAAATAGCCCGACGAAAGGGGCCTTAATAACAATAGTCCCCCAAAGTAGTACAGGTCAATATTCCCCTAAACCCTAAACCCTAAACCCAAAAGAGTATAGGTCCATATTTCCCTAAATTAGACACCCAGAGCCCGGTCCAGGAGCAACTTCCGGTCTCGCACCCACCTCAACTCATCTCACGAGCTCCGATCTTCTCGCAGTCGTTCCGGGATTCCGGGGCTCATAACCGATAACTTATTTAAATGTGTGCAGTTCCGGGGATCATAACCGATAACTTTGGAACAAACATGTGCAAGAAGTTACCGTGATCTCGGGGTTTTGTGGCGTTTGAGGCTCTTCGCATCCGTCGCGTCTGAGCGTGTTCGGCGTATTTTCGGCTTGTGGTGTGGAGGCGCGCTTGGGGTCTACTATAATAGGGGCTCAAGCTTTGAGGTCTCAGCGGTGTACGGTTCGGGGTTAAGGCTTGTTTGGAGACCTGTGGTGTTGAGCGCATTGAGGTTGGGCTGGGTTAAAGGGTTCGTTGCGTGTGCTAGCGGGTATGAGCTGTAGGCGTTGTAGGTTCTGGGGTCAGCATGGGGCGTCAGACATGCATCTTGCTTTCGTGCTTCACGGATCAGGACAACAGTTAAGATCGGAGCACTCCTTGGGTGGTATACCGGCGTAAACATTTGGTCAATGAGCCCGCTATCGGTAGCATTTCCAACCCGCGCTGCGACAACAACGAACTGCAAGCTGTAACCAACACAAATACCTTCTTGTGAGTTCGCATATATCTAAAGTATATTCCCCACCACAAAAAACAAGAACACACCAAACAAGTATTGAACTTGCGAAAGCCCCTAGTGCTTCCAGTGGGCCCAACAGCCCCTCAACACAACCTGGCTGGTAATGGTCTGCTGCTCAACAAACAAACTCTAACAGCTGGGATCAACGTTGCTTGGTACCATGCGCGAAGAAAACAGGCCAATCGAATCCTTGCATTCCGGGGGCGGGAAACTTTGGCTTGGAACATCTTTCACCCAGCAACTGCAGCCAGGTTTCAAGAAGGCGGAGTCAAAGCCACAAAGGAACCATTTCGAGCCATTCATGTTCCTCAGCTTTCCACCAATCAGAAGAAACCCATCTCGTGCATGAAACATGGTAGTGCGGTGTAGATTACGTCGGATATACATGCATGCATACATACTTACGTACACACATACGCACATACATACCTACATACATACAT